AAAAGAAAAGAAAATTTGTTTTTAACTAAAAATTTATATATTGTGGCTTTTATGAACAGGTTTCTTAAACTCTCTGAAAGTATCCCCTCATTACAAGCAGCTTCAAACTTCTTTATATGTCAATGATAACAACTTGTTTTGAAGACTAATCTTATTTTTGTTTGCTTATTGTAATGTTTTTATTTTCCTATTTTCTCACACCAAAATTAGGAGAAAGAAGAGGCTGGATTTCTATTTCAAAAAGAGGAATGAATATTAAGTTACAGTATTAGCAAGGAGATACAGTGATTTATTTTAATACAGTTTTTTTTGATAAATGAAAAATTGCTTTGCTTTAGATTAATAAGCCATTTTGTTAGACATTATTCTCCACTTAATATGTTTCTACTTACACTGGAAAATATGCTGGGTTGATTTAGATTGTAACTTGTTGAAATTTCATCTGGATTTTGATGATCCTATTTATATAATCTTCATGCTTAGAAAGTGGAATATGAAATCAACAAAAATTACAGGTGTACTTTTGGGATTAATATGCATTTTGGGTAAGGTAAAATAATCTTAAAGAAATAAATTTAGTGAACACATTTTATGTTTTTATATTGGTGTTAGCATCTCAAATTGTTTTCATGAAAATTCTCTCATGAAAATAACCTTGTTTTTTATTAGCCTGTTTGCTATTTTCAGTCACGCTATGAAGGAATGATTAAATCAAATATAAAGTTTAGAACAATTTAACAGGCTTAATAGTGTTACAGATAAGATAGAAATGTTTCTGGTATTATCTTGAATAGTCAGTAGGAAATTGAGTTGTTCTCTTTTAAAGGACTGTGCTGTTTTCATCTCATTATGTGGCTCTAAAATATTTTAAATTATATATTTCACATGCCAACTTACAGAACCATTGTTTTGACAAAAAACATCTTTCAACATTGTTAGTTGTGCTACTTAAAATTGACTTTTTATCTGCAAATAATTTTGTCATTCTCTGTGGAATATTTGACCTGACCAGGTCTAAGACAGTACATCTAAGCCTACAAAACATGAGATTACACTAAAAAAAAAAGAGTAATATTTTGCTCAGCTTTGAGAGCAGATACTTGAAAGTAGCATCTTCTGCTAAGAGATTTTCAGTAAGCCATAGCTTCTCATTTATATTCTTAGTTGTGGATATGAAGTTTATATATTTGTGTTTTAGAAAAGGTGTGCTTCTAATTTAAAATTATTATTTCATATATAAGAATATACACATGATGTTTTTTCCCAATTAAACTTTCCAAAATAGACTTAAAAGTACTCATAAATTTATGTTGATTATAGGGTTTAGTAATATTAGTCTCTTTTATTTAAGAATAATTGTTTCTATTGTCACTAGGGCATAAAAATAGTTTTTCTTTTAATTAATTAAGCTCTTAATCTAATATAGCCTCAATGAATTCACTCATAGGAATTACTTGATGAAGCAATAATGAAAGGCTGTCTGGCTGATATCCATCAGCCTCTGTCTTGAAAATAAGTAAATTTTAAAGTGAAAACATATAAATTAGAGCTATATCTGTTTTATGTATCTAGGGTTTATATAATTTAATTTTATAATTCAATTTTGTTCAATTGTGCCATGCATATGTTTTCTGAATCATGAAAACGCCACAATCACTGCTGAATGTAAAACACAAAGGAATCCTAAGAGTATGATACTTGTTTTGATTATGATGCATAAGTAAAAATCCAAAACTAATCATAACTAAAATTGTTTCTGTGACATTTTCTTCTTTTCTCATCTATTTTTTCTTTTCTTCTTTATCCTCTTTCATCTTCCTTTTCTTCTTTTTAAACAAATAACGATATTTTGAATATAGACTAATTGGGTTTAGAAGTAGAGAATAAAAACTGGTCATAAAGAAGAATATAATTCAATTTATAAACACAAGTTATCTCAAGTTGAAATCAATATAACAGAACCTCTCAACTCCATCTAGTTAACTCCTGGGATTAATTCAGTGTCTCAATTTCCTTTGTGGAACATACTAATTATTTTCCAGGGTAGTTCATCTCTCCAACTTTGTATATTGTGTCAAGAGTAACATGCATTTGTCACCTCAGGTGTCACTGCCATTTTTCTTGTATTTTCATTTCATAATTTATTTAAATATTGTATAATTTAATGCAAAATGATTGGTGGGAAAGTTTTTTTTTTTTTGACAGGGGTGTCAAAACCAAGGAAACTACTTTGGAATTGAATAAAAGCAAGTTGACAAAAGTATATGAAATATTTTATAAAAACTATAAAATTGAGCAAGACTTTTGTTTTCAGATTGCTTTACAAATAGTTTTGACTTTTTTTTCATTAAAAAAATTAGAACCTCTAGATAGGGAAGAGAGGTGGGAGGGAAAGGGAGGGAGAAGGGGAATTCCATGGAAGAGGCTAGGAGACCCCCCCCCTTCAATATACAGAATACAGGTATGATGATGTGAGGGGGGGGGAAAGAAGTGGGTTACATTAGATTGGGTAGAGAGAAGTGATGGGACTGGAGGGGAGGGGAAGGGGGGAATGGAAGGACAACAGAATAAAATAGACATTATTATTGCTGTGGGTATATACGTGACTGCATGACCAATGTAATTCTGCAACCTGTACACTCAGAAAAATGAGAAATTACATCCCATCTGATTCAAATGTATGATATTGTCAAGATCATTGTACTGTCATGTGTAACTAATTAAAACAATAAAAAAGAAAGAAAGAAAACAAAATTTTTAAAAAATTAGAAATCAAAAGCTGTGCCTGAGAGTTAAGAGGGAAAAAAAATAGTAACAAATCCATAATAGTGGATTCTTACTCAAAGAAAAAGATCTTGATTCTATAACAAAACAATAGTATTCCTATCTACTTAAGTCTTATATAATAAACCATCAAATATACCTATGACCTTTATATGATTCTCTTTTAATTATTTTGTTTACTTAATTAGTTCAGTAAATTATTCCTTCTAGAATTTAAGAAAAGAGGGTTTCCATTGTGCTTTGTAATGTCTGAGAAAAAAGTTAAGGATGATTTTTCTTTTGTTAGACTAACTGAATTCTATGAGTGTTTTGACATCTGAGTATCATTAGGAAGACACACTGCCCACTTGAGGAGACATGGCTGCCATTTTGGGTCTAAGATAGCTTCCAGAAAGTTTCAAGTGTTTACTTTGTGAAATGAGGGAAATAATTTACAACAACATGGATGGGAAACAGATTTCATCTTGAAATAAAACTCTGATTAAATGCCAGTGGATACTTGAAAATCTGTTCTGAGATGACTTGATAGCCCTTCACCATAGAACTAGATGCTTTGGTCTGGTAGTGATGTCTGCCATGGGAACAACGTGGAGTAGAATGATAAAACTGTGACAAAATTACTCTACTGAGCTATAACTACTTTCTTTTAGTGTTTTCAGTTTTAAAATAAAAGTTTTTAAAGGTTTTTTTTTCTTTTTTACCTCCTGTTGCAACACTCCCACTGGTGATGTCCTTTAGTATTGGTTAGTAACCACATAGATGAGAAAGATTGGGACCGATGCGCGATTTATCCTTTTCATCCTCACAAGAAACACATATTTGTTACTTTACAACACAATGAGAAATATTTGTACAAATAAAAACAAATAGTTTTTTTTTTTTGCTGTAACTTCTCCAAAAACTCAATATGTTTTGTCTTCATTAGAGAAAACTAGTCTAAAATTTGTTCAACAACATTATTTTTATTATTATATAGTTAAGATGAGTAAAAGTATACAGAACATGAGAGCAAAAGGACTGTTCCAATGATCACTGTTTGATTTAGTAAATTTGGCTGTTAATATGACTATGGTTTTCTTCAAGGTCCTTGACATGGGACATGATTTTGAATTTATATTAGGATAGCTTTTCTGGATGAAAACTACAATAATATCTAAGACAGTATATTCACACGTTTCATTAATATAAGATATTGATTAAGAAGAATTACTTTGTTTTAATCTTCACAAATGTAGAAAAACGAATTCTCAAATTTATAATGTAAATGGTACTACAATTCTTTCTTTGAAGATTATGTCAGTGCATGTATTTTCATGTCAATAAAATATGCTCATTGAATCCCATCATCTAAATATTCCCCAAACTCTAAATGCCATAAATATACATAAAAGACATATATGTTATATTGATGAAGATTGATGATAGGTATGTGTAAATGCACATGTTAGGGACAATTTTACTTCAGTTAATGCCTACTAATGTGACAAGCATCAGAAAATGAAAAAAGAATGAAATCTTCCTTATTTAACAATTATTAATTGAATAACTAAAATACACTGCTCTAACTATGGGAGATTTACAAATGTGAAAGCACAAAACCCCAGAAACTGACAGAGACTATTATATTAGGAATCTTCCCAGGAAGCTACTGGAATGTACCATAAATCCCTGTCATTACAAATTACAAATTTATTTTCCTACAAAATAAAGTTTTATTGTACATGTAAGAAAGCTTGAAACTGTTCAGTCTTCATTTATAGTCTTGACACATCAATTTTGTAACAGTAAATTTTGCCTTTCAAAATATGTGTTATATGGATGGTTCCAAGCCCCTGAAATAAGCTACTTCACATAATAATTGCTGCTTCAAACCTGAGAGATTCCCTTTTCTGTTTAATCCTTCTCTTAATGACTTCATTTATTGTCTACTGGAAATCAATTTAGAAAATCATGTTAGTTCACTAAGCACTTCAGATAAGGCAATTCCATGAAGCATTCCAAGATTATCACAAGGAGTTGCTCTCATATGCCATAAAACAAGAAAGAGGTAAAATATGACCTGTTGCAGGATGGTTACAGTTTTACAGCCCCTCCCACTGCAGCTCTTAAGTCACCCAGTTACACTTAGCTCTGGATTATCACTCTCAGATTGAAAGCAAAACACTGGGTTTTTCTGGGCTTGCGGTGCCACTTGTATGTGTGTCTCTCAGTCGATGATGAGGATATCAGAACCGATTCTGGACATGGACGTGGGAAATTACAGTGAAGTTTTGGACCCAAATTATACCACTTTGGAATTTGAAACGATGCAGATTTTATATAATTCAAATGGTGAGTGCTCATCTGCTTATAGAACTATGAAAAAGTAAACATAGCAGGGAGAAGTGAAGTTGAGCTTCCCAAAGGTGGTGGCTCAGGGTTTTATTGCTGGAGAAATCAAGGCTTGTTTTTTAAGGATACAAATCTGAGTTTTTGCACTTCATCACAAAATTTAAATTAATAATGCTATGGCTATTTTATGTTACAAGTAGAAAAACCCAGTTTTGTGTAATAAAGTAACCTCAGAATTCTGTCATGGGCTAGTTAGAGAGGTAAAAGGAGTAGTTTCAGCAGATACTTTATTTGCTGTAAATCACAGTAATAAATAACATTGGCAGATTGGCTGTGAAAAAATATTTTCTATGCAATATTTAGAATGACTTATGGAACAGAGTTTCTATAGAACACTGAATACTTTTACTGATTGCCTCCTCCTTTCATTATTCCAGTTTTTGGTTGCTGCTGAGGAGAAACTACATTTAAAATCACTGTCAAGCTTTTGTGTTGAACAGAAATATGGAAAGAAATAGAGGTTTATATTATAACCTCACTTGACAGGCTAATGTTTAGCCACACAAAGCTCTTGGTATTTATCTACTGTAACATTTTAACTTTAAATAAGACATGAATTGTCTTTGCATAATACAGTTTGCTATTGTCTTTGAATTTGGATTTTTCCCCCAAGTATAAGTCTCGTCCAAGACAGACTGTAATTGTTAGAACTTCGAATATCTTGTGATTGTGTATACTTTGGAATTTTTTTTTTGTGTGTGTGTGTGTATGTGTGCATATGTGTTTAGGTCAGGATTGAGAAATCATTTATATTAAAAGTATCCTAATATTCTACTTTAATGTACAATTTTTATGACACATGTTCTGGTTATATTTCCAGTAAGCAAATTCCAGTTATATTTCCTTTTTAACAGGGAGGTTTTAAAAAAAAATGTCAAAAGATGAATTCTGAAATTTAAGCACAAATAGAGTTAAAATGCACCTCTTGTTCAACCCTTAGGAAGTAATTATTTTGAGTAGACATATTTCATAGAATTTCTCAATAGAATCATGACTTTAAAAAATGACTCTAGCTTCCTAAATGATACCAACAGATTTACTATAAGAATTTACCAATGTATGCTATAATAACTAAATTGTATGGCTATTTTTCAATTATTATTTAACTTGTTTATAATAACTGTCAATTATATGTAACTATTGCTAAACTTAGAATTAAATTTGTTTTTAATATTTCCACCTAATATTTAGAATATAACCAATTTTAAACACTTTGACTTCCATATGGCTAATGTTTTTGTTAATGTTACTAAAAGACAAATTCTTTGCATTTTAGTTCTATAGTGTAGGATGATGAACCTTAAATATATTCCCATTAAAGTTTTTTATGACTTTATGAAATTATATATAGCAGTTTACTCAGAAGCATTAGTAAGTAGAATAAATGTGATGTCATGGGGTGTAACTGGGATATGACAACCTTTAATTTTACTTTTTTTATATTAAATAGAGATATAATGAGTTCTTTATTATTATATAATTTATGGTAAATTAAAATTTTAATATACTACATGTGGAGGGTACTGGGGACTGAATCCAGGAGAATTTTACTTCTGAGCTATATCTTAGCCTGTTTTTTGGTGGGGGATGGGTACCTCAGGGGCACTCAACCACTGAGCCACATCCCTCTTTTTTTATATTTTATTTAGAGACAGGGTTCCACTGAGTATCTTAGTACCTTGCTTTTGCTGAGGCTGGCTTTGAACTCATGATCCTCCTGAGCCACTTAGCCTCTTCTATTTTGGGGGAGGGATGAAGGGGGGGTGCAATCTGCCAAGTATTGAACCAGGGGCACTTAACCACTGAACCACATCATATAACCTATTTAAAAATATTGTTTATCTTGAGACAGGGACTCATAAAGTTGCTTAGGGCCTCGCTAAGTTGCTGAGGTAAGATTTGAACTTGAGATCCTCCTTCCATAGCCTCCAGATTTTGTTTTGTTTTCTGAGATAGAGCCTTGCTAAGTTGCACAAGTGGTCCCTGAAATGATGATACTCCTCCTTTTTCAGTCTTCTGAGTAGCTGGAATTAGAGGCATGTGCTACTGTACTTGGAATATATTCCCTTATAGTTAATATATTTTGAGTACATACAGATTTTAAAGATGCATTCAACAATATCAACTCATTAAAATATATTTATTTACTACATGTTTATTTTTAATGCCTGTTCTTACAAAACTATACATTAGGGAGCTGGGGGTATAGCTCAGTTAGTAAAGTGCTTGCCTAGCATGCACAAGACCCAGGGTTCAATTCCCAACATCAGGCACTCCCCCCCCAAAAAAAAAACCAACTATACATTAGATGTCCTGTAGATGCCGGCACAATTATAAGAGCTGGAAAACAGATAAATTCTCTGACATCTTGAAGTTTATATTCTGTGCATAAAGATGGGTTACAAATGAGCAAACCAATACATAATATAATTTTAGGCAAGGGCATTTCTATAAAAATAATAATAATAGCCAAGCTCCAAGTTCTACTTGAAGGGTAGATGAGAGGTAACTTTTTAAAGTCTTACAGAAGAAATTTCCTTCCAGACAAGTGTAAAAAAGTTCCAAGGTCAAATTAGGGCTTCAAGAAACAAACAAAAAATGGTAACACTGCTGAAGAATAGTAAACAGGATGAAAAGTGATACCAAACACTGGGATCAGAGAGGTGGGGTTGGCAAAGGCAGGGAATTTTATCATGCAGTGTTTTACAGGCTCTGCTTAAGGGCATAGGATTTATTCTATCTAGTAACACATCATGGTGGGTTAGACACAGAAGAATGACATGGTATGGATTTCTTATGTCAAGATCTCTTGGGTGGCTTTGGGGTAATAAACAGAGGGGGGAGCAAGCTTAAAAGCAAGGAAGTTAGAATACAAACAACAGTTAAGTGTTGGTGAGGATGTGGGGGGAAAAAGCCACACTCATACATTGCTGGTGGGACTGCAAAATGGTGCAGTCAATATGGAAAGCAGTGTGGAGATTCTTTGGAAAACTGGGAATGGAATCACCTTTTGACCCAGGTATCCCATTCCTCAGTCTATACCCAAAGGACTTACAAACAGCATGCTACAAGGATACAGCCATATCAATGTTTATTACAGCATAATTCACAATAGCTAAACTGTACAACACTCTAGATGCCCTTCAGTAGATGAATGGATAAAGAAAATGTGGTATATGTACACAATGGAATATTATTCAGCAATAAAAGAGAATAAAATCATGGCATTTGCAGGTAAATGGATGCAAAGTGTAGTTAGCCAATCCCCAAAACCAAATACCTAATGTTTTCTCTTATAAAAGGAGGATGATTTGTAGTAGGGTTGGGTGGGGGACTATGGAAAGATTAGACAAACTCTAGATAGGGCAAAGGGGAAGGAGGGGAAGGGAGGGGGCAAGAGGGTCAAAAAGATGGTGAAGTGAGATGGACATCATTACCCGAAGTACATGCATGAAGACAAGAATGGTCTGAATATACTTTGTATGCAACCAGAGATATAAAAAATTGTGCTCTATTTGTGTAATATGAATTTTAATGTATTCTTGTGTCATATATAACAAATTATAATTAAAAAAAATTAAAAGAAGCAGGGAAGTTAGATGGGAAAGTGTTGCAGAAGTCCATGGGAAGGATGATGATCAATTGGATAAAGGGGGAAATCTTTGGAATAAATGTGTATTTCAAATATTAATTTACTACTGAGTTAGAGAGGAAGGATGACCAAAAGGATGCAAGGATGACTCTCAAGTTTTGGCGCCAGGGACTAGATGGAACCATTGGCTTATATAAGGAAGATTGAAGAAAGAACTAGTTCTACAGATGGGAAAAAAAATCAAAGTTCTAGTTTTTGATACATTAATTTATGATTTTTATTTGACTTCAAAGTGAAAATATTGAATAGGTACTTGAAAATATTGAATAGGTACAATATTCAAAATATTGAATAGGTACTGATTTCCAAAGGAGAGATCAGATTAGAAACAATATTTAAAGATTTTTTTCCCCATTATACAGATGATTTTTAATGTCATGCAACTGTATAAGTTTCCTTTGGGAAAAAGTATAACAGGGGGACTGAACCACATGGATTCCCAAAATCTAATGGTCAGAAATATGAGATGGGAGTTATGAAAGAACCAGCCAGAGTTTAAAAGAAAAGCCCTGATTTAAAGATTCCAGCATGTCAAGAAATGGACTCTTTGGGGCCCATGTATAATTTTTAGAGCAATTTAATCAAGAATATTCAGTACTAACTCTAAATCTATTCTTCATTTTTTTTTTTTAACAGATAGTTCTGCCCCCGAGACAACAAGTATGAATACCACAGACAACGGTGTCGGTGTCAACTGTCTGTGTGCGATATGTGGGGACAGAGCAACAGGAAAACACTATGGGGCATCCAGCTGTGACGGGTGCAAGGGCTTCTTTCGACGCAGCATACGCAAGAGTCATGTTTATTCCTGCAGGTACTTCACATGCTCCGTTAAGGAAAATGATCTTTTGAGATGTTTGAAATAGCACGCAAAAAGTAAGGGAAGAGCTAAGTGCAGTGGTGAACTCCTGTAATCCCACTGGCTCTGGAGGCTGAGGCAGGAGGATTGTGAGTTCAAAGCCAGCCTCAGCAATTTATCAAGGCCCTAAGTAACTCAGGGAGACCCTATCTCCAAATAAAAAATAAGAAGATCTGGGGGTAGAGTTCAGTGGTAAAGTTTCCCTGGGTTGAATCCCTAGTACCTCCCACCCTGAAAAAATAAAAGCAAAAAGAAAAAATGTATTTAGAGCTTCCTTATATCTGTACCTCTAGGTAGAAAAATTCTACCTGGCAATGAAAGAGTGTGTGGGGGGTATGTATACAGGTGGTTCTTCTTTTATGAAACAGATTAGACTTAAAAAGATATAAATAAATTAAAAATCCACCTACGACCCATTTTAGACCAAAATAGCTGAATCTTCCAATGGCTACCTCCCACTTTCTCTTTCTACCTAGACTCCCTGAGATACCTACCATCTGGAATTTGATGTTGATCTTTTCTGTGTGTCTCTTTATTGTTTTACCATGCTTGTATACCACTATACATTTTTAAAATCTGTACTTAAATGGTTTCTCAATGTGTTTATTTCTCCCTATGTTGATTTTCCTTTTAGTGTTCCACTACATCTTGGAGCTTTTAAAACAAAATTTTAAAAGTACAGATGATTTTGGACATTTTCAGTTTCCGTGAATGAAATTTAATTTTCAGTTCTAAAATTTAAACTTGTTTCTCATGCTACCTTTTTTGTGACATTGAATTTAAATGTCTTGTCTAAAGCTTACTTACTTACATTTTATGTGACACACATAGTTTTTTAAAATGTTTTCTTGTCAATATCACAACACAGGTTAGGTTTAATTATTGCATCCTTATTGATATGACATTTCTTTCTTTGTGCATGTGGGGGAGTACTGGGGATGGAACGCAGGGGCTCCTGACCATTGAGCCACATCCCCATCTCTATTTTGTGTTTTCTTTAGAGATAGGGTCTCACTAAGTTCTTAACACCTCTCTTGTGCTGAGGCTGACTGTCTCAGCCTCTGAGCAATTGGGATTATAATCATGTGCCACTGAGCCTGGCAATATGACAGTTCTTGAAGGCATATTATATCTAAGTTGAATATGGGCTACTGACCAAAATCAATAACAGAAGAAAATCTGTATTTGCTTTGTCAATGAAAAGGATGTTAGCATTTTTACATTGTTCTAAGAAAATGGTCATTTAAGAAGAAGTTAGCCTTCTTCCAAGGTGTCATTTCATTTTCCAGGCTGTAATAAAAGTTAATATGAATAGCCAAATCCTGAAATATCTTCCTAGGATTCCCTACAAATTTTTTCATGAAAGTTTGATCTAGGCTAACAGCTGAAAGATATATCAATTATTCACTTTAAAAACTTGGTAAATAAACAAAAATATGTATTGACATAGGTTTTACTTATGTAGACATAAAAATTCTGGAAGTAAAACGTAAATAAATTTCCTCCATCATAAACATTTTCTGTAGGATTACCTTAATTATTGAGTACTCCTGAGTAATTAATACCTAAAATAAAAGCAAAACAACACATAGACTTTTTTTGGGAATTAGGTGGTCTGTTAAAAGTGTAATGTACATATATGAAAAAATGTCAATTCAGACACCTAAATCCAAGAACAGATTTTAAGAAGCCAAGAGGACCAAGACAAGAGCTTTGGGATTTTCATGGGGTCTGTATGGGGATGGTAGGAAAGAACTGCTCCCCCCGAAGCGGCTTTTAGAAGTTTAGAAACTATTCTAGTCACAAGTACGGTTTAACTTCTTGCTCCTAAGCATAATGCATGCTGCTGCCAACATAGCCCCATTTACATGTTTTGGTATTAAGCAGATGCTATGATTTTCCACGTAGAAAATAGTTATGTTGGTGCTTCTATATTAGGAGCATAAAGCGTTTTTGACCTAAGATTGATGCAGTTCCTGAGATTCAGAAATTCCACCTTCAGGCTCTCTGACTGTTCCATCACACAGAAAGCCAGACTGTCCTTCCTAAAGCACTTCAAACTCCTATTTCAATACTTCTCACATGATGCTTTTGATAATGGCTACTTATAAATTTCTGTGTGCTCTATTGGATTATAATTTTCTTGAATGGAAGAGAAAGGTAGTATTCCTCTGTTTAATCTCTATACCAGGATTCCATATACCATAGGTACTTAATAATAGGTTTATTCAATTTTTCTACTAATTTAGTGTTGATTGGCTATGTTTTCCTTCTTGTGATTTTTAGCCATCGGATCCTCTCTCCCGAGTCTTCTCAACTCTCATTTAAAATGAACAAGGTTTTTCCTCACTCTGAATACACATCTCTCCTTTAGCTCATTTGAAGTAGTCTTTAACATCTCATTCTATTTTAAGTGGTCACCCATGTATTTTAAAGAAAAATTTTATATGTAATAAAATGCATTACTTTATTCTCATCATTTAATAATCAACTTTAAATGATCAGTATATATCAGTGCCTATGGATAAGAGTTTTGAAGAAATGTTATTGTTTATTATATGATTAACATGTGCCCCAAACTCTGGAGTACATTCACACAACATTCTTTTAAGGCAAGACCTTTGCCCCATTTTACAAATGTAGATTGATGTCATTTAATATCCTCAAGTTCTACCAACAGTGAATGGCAAACTAGTTTTAGAACAGACTATATATATTTTTAAGTACATAATACAGTTTTTTTTTAGCATACTCAGATTTGTGTGACCATCAAAACAATCAATTTAGATCATTTTCATACCCTACGAAGAACCTTTAGAAATCACTTCCCAATTGCCCCAGCTCCTTTTTCAACAATATGAGGTAATTACTAATCTTACTTAAAAAATTAATAATCCTCTTCTGAACTTTTCTCTTTTCCTTTCTTTTGGTACCAGGGGCGGAACCCAGGGGTGCTTGAGCACTGAACTACATTACCCAGGCCTTGTTCTTTTTTTACTTAGAGATAGGGTGTCACTAAGTTGCTTAGGGCCTTGCTAGGTTGCTGAGGCTGGTCTTGAACTTGTGATCCTCCTGCCTCAGTCTCCCGAGTCTCTGGCATTATAGTTGTGTGCCGCCACGCCCAGGTATGCCATTTCATGTATATGAAATCATAAAATATGTGTCCTCTTGAATCTGACTTGCTTTATTTAAATTAGAAATGTTGTAACAAGAATCAGAACTTATTTCTATTTATTGACAAATGGTAAGATTCAATTGTATGGATATACCATGTTTTATTCATCTGCATATCTCTCCACTTTTGGCTCTTATGAATAATTCTGATACCGACAGAAATTTTGTTATGTCCCTAGTGTGGAATCACTGTCTCAGATGTCAGCTCTATGTTTAATTTGTGAGAAAATGCCAAGCTTTCTTTCTTTCTAAGCAGCAGCAGCAGCATTTAATATTGTAAGTAGGAATATATGATGATTCTAAGTTTTCCCACATCCCCACCAACACTGGACTGCCTGTTTTTTGTTTTTTGTTTTTTTCCTAATGTGTGTGAAGTGATACATCCTTATGCAGAAATTACATTCTCAGTGATGTTGTCAATTGTCTTTTGATTTGCAACTTGACTCTCCAGCTGATGGGAATTAAACTTAGAGCCTCATGTCCTTCCAGTGAGCTGCATACCCAGCTGTGTAATTTGGCATTTAGTATAGATTTCAGTTGGAAGTGAGGTCATTGAAAATTAGTTGAAGAATGTTTAAAAGGAGAAAAAGTACAAGAGTGTAGGTGAATGGAGTTCTGATATATTCTGTCTCACATTGAAACCACTTAGCATTAAGCAACTAGAATTTACATCAGAAGATGTCTAAAACTAGATTGAACTTTCATGACTCATGATAGAAATGATTATGTACACTGGGTAAATCTTAGTCACTCAGTTTTATTTTATTATAAAGACTGTGTGAGAGGTGAGGCTTATATTTCCATATACATGCTGATCATGAGCCTGGAAACAGTTAATTGTCTTATACCTTCTTTCTGTTGAGCAACATTAGACTATACTTATTTAAAATCCATTTGTTTGTATATTTTATTTTTTGACAAATGATAGTTTGCTGTAAGCTAACATCTATGTTTGATGTTATAGGTTCAGTCGCCAATGTGTTGTTGACAAGGACAAAAGGAATCAATGTAGATACTGTCGATTAAGAAAGTGTTTTCGAGCAGGAATGAAAAAAGAAGGTAAAAAATAGTGATGATGATGATAGTTAACATTATTGATGAAAAGTGGAATGCACAAATATTGTCATTAATTACAATAACCTTTTTACTTTATTCTAATTTTCCTCAATATGGTAGTGAAGAATCTGTGAAAGAGTTCTTTGAGTTAAAGTATTTAGTCCACGATACCCAGCTTGTAAGTGGTGGAGCCAGTCTTTATCTTGTGATTGATTATCTGACTACTGACATAATTCTCCCCAACACTATGCTACGTGGTCAACAAAATTATTGTCCAAACAGCATTCAAATATCCAGTTCAAAAGATAAATTGCAAATTCTATGAATAGATTGAATTTATAAATATATTTTAAACACATTTTTATCCTTAATAATAATCAAATATCTTTATTCATTTCATGAACATTAATGGAACATCTACTTTTTCATATGTTCATCCATCTAACAAATAGCTATTGAACACTATTTCCCAATCACTGTTCTAGGTGTTGAGGTTTTGGCACTAAACAAAATAGACAAAATGATCCTCCCTTTTAGAGAGTTTATATTCTGTCAAGGGACAGAGCCAATAGATTGATATGGTATTTATTATTATATGGTATATATTAAGTTCATTTTGAACATATTAAACAATCTGATTATATTCTGGTACATTCTGAACATGGGTAGTTTAGACACAAATGTGATGAGCACATTCTAAACACTGGCAGGCATAAAAGCTACAAGGGTCTATTCCTTTTAGTTTTGCTACATGCCTGTCTCTATAATAAGCCATTGTTCACAGTATATAATGTGCTGAAAAATAAAATTGAATGAAATCAGTATACTCAAGAAGTTAAAATACATCAAATTCATTTTGAACATAGCTAGTTTTTCCTTTATCTCTCAGTATTTTAAAACTTTAAAAAAGAAAAAATCCATTAGCATTTCTCAGGTTGCTAATCTTAAAAGAAGACCAAAAAAAAAAAGTTCATAACATTAAAGCAAAAACAATTTTTCATTTTAAAAATGACATTGTTATGTCCTAAGAGCTCTATTGGGTAGTTTATGGGATTAATTAGATGCTTTGTCAATTGTCTCCCTCCATTCCTGCTTGATCCCCAAACTTTACCTCTACTAAATTGTAAACAAATAACAGTTTTATATTTCCTTTATGAATTTTACAATTTATGAAATTAACTTATTTTTTAAAATATTGGATTATCAGCCAGGTATGGTGGTGCAGGCCTAGAATCCCAGTGACTCAGGAGGCTGAGCCCAGAGGATTACAAGCTCAAAGTCAGCCTCAGCAACTTAGCAAGTCACTAAGCAACTTCGTGAGACCTTGTCTCACAATAAAAAATAAGAAAGACTGGGAGGGGCATAGGGATAGGAAAGATGGTGGAATGCAATGGTCATCATTACCCTAAGTACATGTATGAAGACACAAAGGATGTGACTCTACTTTGTGTACAACCAAAGGTATGAAAAATTGTGCTCTATATGTGTAATATGAATTGTAATGCATTCTGTTGTCATATATAACAAATTAAAATTAAACATAAAAAGGAGACTGAGGATGGAGCTCATGGGTTAAACTTGATCATGTAAATGAAATTTTAAAAAACATAACAAACATCTTAATTTTTTTATTTCTACAAAATCATTTCCGAATGAGTCAGTTCAGGTTGAAAATCAATAACTCTCTGGTAAGGAAAAATAAAACAACCCCAAAAACCCCAGTAAGCTATCAGTAAATGTGATATTAAAATAAGATATTAATAAATCACTCCAACTTAAAGACTACTTACTCTCTCATAAGGTGAAAAAGTCCAGTATTTTTTCTTCTAACTTAATGGACTTCATAATTAATAGTAAGTTTAGAGTCTTTGTTACAAGACTTTGGTATATTTCTATAATAAAATAATAATTGCCAAAATTTTTATAGTTTAACAGTCTATCTTTCCAACAGAACAGACTAGAGCATTAACCTAAACAGTTTGGTACACTAAGCTGTGTTTTTCTCTTTGATAATTATTTTTCATTGATAAATGAAAAATAATTTTGCCTTCCAACTTTTAAAATTCATCTTGACATTTGTCTTGTTTTGTTGTTTCTATGAGTATTTATACAAATATATAAGCTAATTCTCCCCTTCTGGCTCTTCTTTATATTTAAAAATGTAATTTCAGCAAGGAATTTGGAGAAATACATTTTATTCCTTTCCCTTCTGAAAAAAGGATGCAATACTACCTCTTCTGTAGAGACTTTTTTTTTTTTTTCCCAAAAAGCTGTCACTCAAACTTTTGTCTTTTCAGGAGATTCCACAGACTCATACAGCTTTTTTATTTTATTTTATTTTTTTAATTAACACCTGTAAATTATCTCGATGACAGTATTTCATAAGGGATCATAATATTGCAACCTTAAAATCATCTAAACTAAATAAATTTACTTTCTATTCTGGTAGTGCTTAGGAAAAAGAAAATAGAATTTCAAAATTGATGACTCATATCTTCTGGGAGCAAAAAATACATTCTTATCTTTGACCTGGCCAATCTCATAGGTGACATTCTTCCTCTAGTTAGTGTATAGTTTGAGAGAACAGAAAACCAATCTATCAAAAACTTAACCTGGCAAAACAGGTTAACCAACACTTTATAGCATGCTTGCCATCATGAAGTCCCAAACAGTATTTTATGAGCTCTAGTGACAAAGACAAGCCCCTGGCTACTCCAACTTTTGAAAATGGTACAGAATGAAAAGTTCAACTTTCTATCACCATGGTCTTTTAGAAAGACTATTTCTTGCTTTTTTTTCTTTTGTATTTTTTTAAATTTCAAACTGTATATCATGAAACATCTTAAAGAGATTTAACCAGTAATATTCTGCATTTTCTGTCTTAGCTGTGCAAAATGAACGTGATAGAATAAGCACCAGAAGAAGCACATTCGATGGCAGCAATATCCCCTCCATAAACACACTGTCACAAGCTGAAATTCGGTCTCGCCAGGTACGCACTGCATCCCAGTATCTAGCTTTGTGTAATAGAATGAAATGTCTATTTGCACATTAGCATTGTGCTAAAATAATCCAAGTTCATCTGAATGTGCTCATGTCTAAAGTAAATCACACCTACACAAGTCTAAGGCTTTTACTTTGTAAGCATTCGGGGGACTGCTGATTTGATTTTGACTTTTTTTTTTTTTTTTTTTTTTGGAACAAGACCCTATTATAAAAAGAACAAGCAAATAAATTTCAGTTTAAGATTGTTCGAGGGAAGAAAAGAGGTTTTTTTATAAGGTTGATTAATAGTTCCTAATGGCCAAGTGCAGTGGCTCATGCCTGTAATCCCAGTGGCACTGGAGGAAAAGGCAGGAGGATAGCAAGTTGAAAGCTAACCTCAGCAAGTTATCTAGGCCCCATGCAATTTAGCAAGGCCCTGTCTCAAAATAAATCATAAAAAGGACTGGGGATGTTGCTCAGTGGTTAAGTGCCCCTGGGTTCAATCTCTGGTACCTAAAAAAAGTTATTACTGCATACCACAATGTTGAGGGGGAAGAAGTATTTATTTTTTACTATTGGTTGATTCTGTAAAATCAGTTGCTATAACTTTTGGGAAGTACAGTGAAGACTTGTCATTAGGGCTTCTTTCTCTGAAGATGATTTCTGAACTTAGGAAGTCACCTTGACGTCTGCTATGGAAACAGGTATTTAAATGCAGACCCAGAATTCAGAAAGCACAGAGGAAACACAACTTTATTATTTTAAGTTTCTATAATATCAGGTCTAAAATTTTTAAAATAATTAGTTACATGCATAAAAATAAACCTCTTAAAGATCCAGTGAGGAAATCCTTTAAAGAAAGTTTATTTTAGCATTGCCCCTACTAGAAACATTAATAATATTTTTCTATTATAAAGTAAAAATAATATTTTTCTATTACAAAGCAAATTATGAAATAGGTAAGTAATCAGTTCTCATAAAGAGTCAATGAGGCTACTTTCGTTTTTGATAACACAAAGGTAATATGATGAGGTTGACATTCCCATTATCATCATTATTACTTGAAGATTACTTGATGGTCCAATAAAGCATTTACAGAATGGCTTAAGGGGGGGCTGTGAGGAAGTGCCAGGTACATGAAGACACACACAGATTCATGTTCAAAAACAAAGTTCACAAAAACTTTTAGATAGTATTTTAAATCACTTTTTAACACCACGTCTTTGTATTTGTGTTATTCCTATTATTTGCAGTTTTAAAAATGTACCATTATATGTTAAGCTCTGCAACATAGGTGAATCAGATTTTAGGTTTCCTTAGTTTATTTTGATGGGCTTTTGTTTAATGCAGCATCACAAGTATTTCTGGTTTCTTGTCTAAATCTTTTCTTCCCAATTTGGTAAACTTTATCCACCTAATAAATGTATTCTGAGTAAAGATCAACAAATTGAAGATGGACTTCCTGAATGGAATTTTAATTTTAGTTAAAAATAAAATCACAAAGCATATTTCATGTGGACATAACCTATCTCTTTATGCAGCCTATTGAAGTGTGAAACTCCCCCAAAATTGTGATCACTTAGTTGAAACATTTGGCTTTTAAAATAAGATACTGCTGTCAGAGTGTGGTGATATCTATTGACTGCTTTCAGTTTTACTTGAAAACGGATATGTATTTTATTTCTAAATTAAAGAATGTTTAATACATTTCAAGATCCTGTGACAAAGATATTGCCTGCTTCAGTGGTGTTTACTTCACACAGTTATGGGGAAACAGGGAAATAGTGCTATGTATTATTTTAAATGATAAGTGAATATAATGTTCTTCTTAATGCCAGATCTCAGCCTCAAGCCCTGGGGTCAGCACTGACATAAATGTTAAGAAAATTGCAAGTATTGGTGATGTCTGCGAATCTATGAAACAGCAGCTTTTAGTCTTGGTGGAATGGGCTAAATATATTCCTGCCTTCTGTGAGTTACCACTGGATGACCAGGTATAAATTCAAGAAATTGCGACTGTTTTAAAACATATTTTGAAAATTCCTTAGTTTTGTGCCCCTTGAATCCCATTTGTAACACATTTACTATATTAGGCAATGGAGAAATTACCTTGTGAGAAAAGGATTGGTCTTCTTATCTTTTCCCCTTCTTGTTCTATACAGAGGCATTACTGTTTGACCTCTGTTTTAGAGGTCTTGCAGACTTATTGATTGGATAAGAGTTGATCAAAACACGGTTCTAACCTCTTGGAGTTTCAAGAGCTTATGTAAGGGAGAAAGACCAGCAAATAACTATCATTTTTGAGTCAAGGTATTAGAAGAGCAAATGTCCAGGGGTAAAAGGCAAATTGTGGTATCTTGGGTTTCCCCAAGATCCCACATAAAATCCCTCAGAAATACCTGGCCAGTCCTAAACAGAAACCCAACAGGATATGTTGATGTCTTTGTGATGCTTTATACAGTTAAAGTGTAAGTTTTGTCCTTTGTGCTGCTAATTTTCTTCTAGCATTTATTATGTGAAAATTACAGTTATGGAAAAAAGTCTACAGATTCATGATCTGAAGTCTAGAGAAATAATAAAAATTAGACACAGTCATCTTTGCCTGATACATGCACTGTTATATTTTTGTATATGTTGAGATATTTTAATAAATTAAGAGCTTGGATTTCCTAATTAGTCTATGAAGTTTAGTTTGTTTCAGGTTCATTTTGAATTCTTTCTACTAAGTAGGATATATTTTTTCAATAGATGAAAATCATTTGAAAGTTTCCTTTCTTATCACATTGAGAAAAACAATCATGTTAAGTGTTATACACAGTTATATTTATACACCTTTTGACCAGTGTTCTTTATCTTTGATAACATAAAAACAAAGAAATAATAAAGGGGAGGGGAATGATTGTGTAAAAACATTGCAAAATATTTACACAGAGAACAAAAATTATCCTAGGAAGTGAGATGTTATATTTCTAAAAGAACATTTCACCTGGTTACAAAGAAAAAAAATACTGTGAAATCTGAAATAATTCTTAAAATGTTCTGTAACTGCTTTCCTGGAATGAGTCACTGTTATTGACATGTCATAAAGATAGCTTGACTGAGAAAGTTATGCCAGAATGAATAATACTAAATTGCTAAAACCTACTAGTCTCACCCCAAGCAATATAAGTAAGGTTACGTTATTTATCAGCTTTATACTTTTATTACCATTCTTGTTTAAAAGTTGCTGACTTTTGTATGAAGACAATGATTCAAATACTGGGAAATTGAAATCCAGTAACCAGTCAAAAATGGGTTTTGTTTGCTAACTGACACTTAATATTAACAGTATAAAATTAATAGCCATGGTTTAGTGAATGTGTATTGTGGTGTGGTTAAGGTTCTGTGGAATTAGCTTTAAGATACATTATCAATCACATTATTTCATTTAATTCTCTAGGGAGTTCTGTGGTATAAGGTGTTATCTCCACAGTTTCTGAAACTAAACCCTAGATTTGTTAAGTTCATTCCTTAAATTTATCCAGTGAATATTTATTAAGAGACTCCTGTGCAGTTTTAGGCGCTATGGGTAATATGCCAGGAAAATACAGATTGCCTTACTAGTCTCATAAAGTTTGTTTTTTTATTTGGGAGAGACAGACAATAAAAAATAAACAAATTATGAGTAAGTTAATTCTAGGTGGGGAAAAGTTCTATAAAATGCTATAAAATGACATAGAATGAGTTGTTAGAAAATGACTGGGGATGAAAAGAGATACTTTATAGTGAGGATCCCAGAAGATATTTCCTGAGAGCTGGTTCACAAGGGGTCAGGCACATTGAGATCCAAGCAGAAAGAATACTGGGTCCTGGAACAGCATGTGCAAGGGTTGTGAGTCAGGCAGGAACAATGTGAACAAGGAGTGTTTCAAGATAAAGTCAGAAATGTGGAGATCAGAGGCAGAACGTGGAACCTCCCCTATTTCTTCCATCATCTAGGAAGCCAGGATTGGAGAGTTTGGATTGTTTCCTAAGAACAATAAGAAACCAGTCAAGAGTTTTCAGCAGAGGGATGATATTAAGAGGTTACTATTCTAAAAGTATCACTTTGAAGGATGATGTAGAAGGATGTATAATGGAGAACCCAGAAGGAAAGCAAAAATGCCTACTGAATGTGGATGGTCCAGGCCACAAATGACAAGAGCCTGGACTCCTGAAAGCAGTGGATGGACTTGGCTTATATTTTGAGAAGCAGCACTAAGATTTTCTGTATAGTTAGAGTCCTTTTTGGATGTAAACAAACATTTTGCACTAAGGTGATTAAAACATCAGAGAAGCCTGACGTTGGTAGGCATTGCATTTGAAATGCTTCCTATTCTTCCTTGTGGTGGTGCCCACACCTGCAGCTGAGTATAGGAATGAAGCTCATTGTAGAACTTAATGCACAGAATCAGAAGCTCAACCTGGAAGGTGGCAGTACCCAGATCTCTATCTTTTCTTCACTACAAGTCCTCGCTTTGCTTTTATTTAGTTTATTATGTGCAGAAGATTATGTTTTACATAAATTTATACCTTAGTCATCATGAGCAAACTCTGAGATGCTTTATCTCCACCTCCACTTTACAGATGAAATCAAATGAGTCCCAAACATACAGGTAGACCTCACCAAGGTTAAAGGGTCCTGAGTGGTCAAGCTGAGATCTGAGCTCTAGCCTGATTCTGTTTCCCTCCAAAACAGTGAACTGATCTGATTTTTTTCTCATGCCATTGTGTCACTTGTTAAGTCCATTTAGAAATTTCAGAAATACATTCTATTGACATACTAGGGTAGAAAACTAGAAGGATTACTGATATCACGTGCCTATGAATATCATATTTTATTAGAACAAAATGAAAAAAAGCCCCATGCTTAAAGAACCTTGAAACTTAATCAGACTCATATTATGCCATCTTTTAATCATTATATTTTATAATTAATTGTTAAACTTGGAATTTTTCATTAAGGTGGCCCTGTTGAGAGCTCATGCAGGGGAGCACTTACTGCTTGGAGCTACGAAAAGATCCATGATGTATAAAGATATTTTGCTTTTGGGTAAGTGTATATATACATATTTTTTTAATGTAAGAAGAAATCATGCACATTTCATCCTTCAGATAATATGCAGGATCTATTCTATATGTCCCAAGCATTCACAGACACTGTCAATGGTACTCTTGCTTCACAGGTTGGACTTAATTGATTTTGTCCTCACTCAGCTTTATACTTTCTTGCCTTGATTGTGTGTAAGTTCAGAGAACAGTGAAATGATCAGGGACCATTAATATTTAAAAATGAAATGGAGATGTTGCTCAATAAATATAATATTGAGGTGTGTTAAGTCTCAGCAGAGCAAAGAATTAGTGATTTAAATGACTACCTTCGGAGTTCCAGTGTATTTTCACACTCTTTCATTGTTTGCTTAATAACTATTTTATACTCTAATGTGATTAACCACTAGGATCTCATTGCCCCTAATATACTATAAAATAATCAGGGAAAAAGGTTTGATGGAATGTTTGAAGAATTCTTATAAAAGTGATAGAAAAAGCAAAATAGGATGGCAGGCGAAGATGGAGAAAGACTCAGATGGAAATATTTGTTTTCATTAATTGTTCCAATACTCCACCTTTACTTAACTCATAAAATAGATTTTTTTATGATAGCATCATGTTTATACATAGTATCTGGGTTCCTTTTGACATAAATATATACATACAAGGAATTTTATTTCAATACCCATTCCTCCTTCCTCTCCTCCTCCCTTTCGCTTTTCTATCTTCTTATCTTCTTTTCAGTTCTTTCTTTATTTATTTTTGATTGGTATGTTCTCCATATATATAAAGGAAATATTCTCTTTGGTGCATTTATATATGTATATAACATGATTCTGTTAGATTCATTCCATAAATTAGATTTTGAGTGTTGAGATCCTTCTAATGTTTGTTAGATTTACCTCTCCATGCTTTGTGCAAAATGCGAATTTGAGTAGTTTGTTTATTTAGTACTGGGATTGAACCCAGGGGCTTTACCACAGGGCTACATTCCCAGCTGGTTTTTTTTTTTTTTTTTTTTTTTTTTTGAGACAGGGTCTTGCTAAATTCCTGAGGCTGGCCTTCAATTTGCAATCCTTCTGCCTTGGCCTCCTCAGTGGTTGGGCTTTCTGATTTGTGCTCCCTCATCGGGCAGATGAGTTAATTTTTCTGTGATAGATAAATGGAACACAATGTAACAATAGCTAAGGTTTAGTGAGGGCTCATTACATAAATGCTCTACTCTAAGTACTTTACATATACATACCTGCTCTCATTTAATCATTTAAATAAGTACTCTTCTGTTCAGTCCAATTTGCTGATGAGAAAACAGAGGCAGATCATGTTTATCTAGGAGCATAAAGGTAGGAGAGAGCCAGGATTCTAAACCATATCACACGACTGCAGACTATGCCCTGAAATTCTGTTAAACACTTCTGCATTCCTAATAAGCATCTCAAATAGTGTTCTCCCTATAGATCTGAATGCAATATCCCCTAGAAAACAGCATCTGTTATATAATCCTAAATCATTTTACACTGAATAGTTAACTTTTTGTAAGAAAGGGTTAAGATTCCCACAGAAAAGGGTAATTATGTGAGAGGATGGATATATTAGCTTAATTATAATAATCATTTCCCAATGTATATGGATACCCAAATACAAAATTACAGTATACTTTAAATATATACAATGTTTTTCTCTCTCATATCTCAATAAAGCTGGGTGGAAAAACAGAGTGAGGCTGTTAATCTGAAGATTCTTGTTAATCGACTTCCTATTACTATGATCTGAGATAATCAGCTTAAAAGGTTTATTTTGTTTCACATGTTTGTGGAGTTTTCAGTCAATTGGTCCCGTCACTTTGGGCATTTGGTGAGGCAGAGCATCCTGGTATGGAGTGTATAGCACAGAAGAGATGCACCGCATGGCACAGAAGAGATGCTCACCATATGGTGGCCAGGAAGGGGCTACAGATTCCCATATCCTCTTCAAGGGCATGACTCCAAGGACCTCACTTTCTCCTACTAGGCCCCACTTTTTAAATGTTCCACCACCTTCCATGAGCTGGCAACCAAGCCTTTGATACATGGGCCTTTGGGGGGTATTCAAGGTCCAAAATGTAACAGTTGTCTTAGACTACGGTGGAAGAATTTGGACTATTATGCTTTTTATAAAAACAGAAAATAATAATTTAGCTTTCTTTCAGAAACCATAATGCACATTCATCATATTATAGCCAGAGAATTTCTAACTAAGAAAGATCTTGAGGTGGTTGGGTGATTCAGTTCTCTGGCCAATTGATGTACTCCTTTAAGTCCAGCTCCTTACAGTGGTCATCTCACCTCTATTTAAAAAAACCCAGAAGAGGGAATGTACCATCCATGGAGGGAACTCATGAGAATACACATGCTCATTCTGAAAAATCAACTTCCTTTATTCAGACGTCTTAAAACTGTCTCAATAGTTCTTATTCCTTCCTAGGCCTGGGGCACCTAAGGAGTGCTGTTTTTAATCCACTGTAAGCAAGGAAGATTCTTTAGGATTTGTAGTATGTTCATTAATGAGTAAGACACTAATAGGTGACTGACAAAGAGGAGAGCTAATCATTATATTTTGATTTTCCCCTGTCAATTATTAGCTTGTATTAGTCTAAACTTTTGTGCTATCACCAGCAAGTGAGGTTGTTAAAATGCATGTGATCCCATTATCATTGTTATTGATCCTTTAAGTACTCCTAAGGTCGAACATCACTAAACACTACTGAGAGATGAAGCCCTAACAACTCCTTCTAAACCTTGGTTTGTAAAACCTTAAATATCTGACAATTTGGGCAAGGAGGTAGTTCTTTTTTCTTTTTCTCCTAGGCAACAACTACGTCATTCACCGAAACAGCTGTGAAGTCGAGATCAGCCGTGTGGCCAATCGGGTTCTCGATGAGCTTGTCCGACCATTTCAAGAAATCCAGATTGATGACAATGAGTATGCTTGCTTGAAGGCAATTGTATTTTTTGACCCAGGTTTGTTTTCAAAATCCCCTTAAAAATAAAATAATGAAAATTAAACTAATTATTCGTATTAGAATAGCTCCTCTCATTCGCTAGCTTGATTCAATCTTCAAATGGTGCCTTTTGTCTTTTTATTAGATGCAAAAGGACTAAGTGACCCAGTAAAAATTAAGAACATGCGGTTCCAAGTGCAGATCAGTCTAGAGGACTACATCAACGACAGGCAGTATGACTCCAGGGGCAGGTTTGGGGAGCTGCTCTTGCTCCTGCCCACGCTGCAGAGCATCACGTGGCAAATGATCGAGCAAATACAGTTTGTGAAGCTTTTTGGAATGGTTAAAATTGACAACCTGCTTCAGGAAATGCTACTGGGTGGTGAGTACATTTAAGAATTTCTATTATATTGATTCAAATCACACTAAGTAGCTTAGAGCATGTTTGCCCGATTTACTTACTTTTTGTCTACATTTATTTCATCTTTTCAAGTTGCCTTATGTTCCTCCTGATTTTTATCTTCTTCTGCCATGACATAATAAATTCAATTTGTTACATTTAGAAAGTCTGCAAAAACCCTTTAGAGTGGGATAAAAATAACTGGAAAAGATTTGAATCCCCATTCTTACCAGAATTCACCATCTTTCCTTCATAGTTCCTTTTACTTCAATTTTCAAATATTTCCATATAAGGAAAATAGAAATGTATTACCTATTTTTAGGACCTCTTGAGAAGTGTGTGGTGTGTGTGTGTGTGTGTGTGTATCTCCTAATTCCTTTAAATCTTAAAGAATATAGGTATTGTAAAATAGCCTAAACACACACACACACACACACACACACACACACACACTAAATAGCTTAAAATGAACATTTTTGCTCCTGGGTTATTGACACAAAATTGTAGAAGAAGAAAATGAGATTTTAATGCTGCAAATAAAATGTGAGGAATAAGTTAAGAAATCATTTAAAGTTTGATATAGATTAAATGTCCTTATAAATACACTATTTGTGTTTTAACTTTTCTGGTGCTTAATATCTTTCTGAAATAAAGGTTGATTATTGTATTAGGGTGGTCCCAAATACCATAAACTTGAGGTAAGCGATTCTTGGAATTGTTTTAATAATAGGCAGTAAACCTAATGATTCCAGGAAATGGCACACAAGGTCCATTATTAATAAACAACATTATGCTACAACATTCATCTAGCCAATGTGCAGTGAAAGCTGACATTTTCTTTACTATGATAGTGGTTCTATCAATTTACATTTGAATTCTCAAAAAGCACTTGGCAAAAACAGCAATATTTAAGCTGTCAAATATTTGTGCCAAGATAAACCTGCCATTCTCCATAAATATCACTAATGCAAGCATCTATCTTTATCTTCTTTAGGTGCTTCCAATGATGGAAATCATCTTCATCATCCAATGCACCCACATTTGTCTCAAGACCCATTAACTGGACAAACTATACTTTTAGGTCCCATGTCCACATTGGTTCATACGGACCAGATCTGTAAGTATCTGAGCTACTTTTCTACCACAACATTCTGAAACTTAATTATTTGAGAAATAGTTGAATTTGGGTAAGTCTCCAATAGTACCCATAAATTGCAAAAAAAAAAAAAAAGTGGGTACAATTTTTTTTTCCAGGACTAACTTGTGGGAAATTGTTATATTCAGTTAGTCATTTATTGTCTCTAGATAAGATTTTTTTTTCATAAACAGAAGATGTGAACTTCATGGGTTTTAGGAACACAAAAGAACAGACAGGTAGTCCTAGCTCTGCATGATGGTGCAGGACCATAAAAAGACCATATAACTTTCAATCACACAAAGGAATCCTAATAATCAGTGGAAAAATTGTGTTGATTATTAAGATCTTTAAAAATGTCAAAACATTAAGAACTCATTTACCTATAGTTTATAAATGTATAGATAAATTGAATAATCTTTTTTACTCTAAAACATTAGAAACAGTTTTTTATTTCTTTGTGAATTGTGAAGAGTAGTTTGCACAGTGCTTTCTGCCTTTTTTTTTTTTTAATAATTTACAATTTGGAAGTGTGAATGTTCTCTGTGTCCTGATGAATTTTACTCCTTTGGAAGTTTGGATCATTTTCCAACATTTGATCCTTTGTATGTTTAATTTCTTGAAATATCTTTGAGAACTTATTTGATGTGAAGGTTTTTGCTGATTTGACTTGTTGTTCCTTTCATCACATTGATTTTCCTCATCAGTTTTTCTTCCATCACTTCCTGGCTCAGACAGTGGCTGTGTCCCTGTTCCCATGCTCAGCTATGTTGGATTTGAATTTCACTTCCTGCATTTCTTTTCTTTGCTTTCATCTTAATTGGCCAATTCTCTTTCAGTTATCCATTTTTTTTTTTTTTTTTTGTAAAGTGTTACATGAATTTATCATGGGGAGGCAAGGAACCAATGGAACTTTAAACTTTGTTGCCAGTGTGTGGACTGAAGAAAAGATGTTCAGTGATCAATCAGACAGATGTGATCAGTAACTGATTACAAAACACATCTGTCATTTATGCAGGCATTTGTAGACTGTAGAGTTAGTAGTAAAGTTTTATATTAATGCAGTTACAGTTAACGTGAGTTACCATGGGAATTGAAATTTGAACAGTGTTGTTTTGAGAGTGATGCAATTTAAGCCATGGTAATTGTAATTTTTGTGTAGCAGAGTTGTGCAAACTCTGAGAGCTGCTTCTCTTTGGAACTCAAATGACTACGTAAATATTAGAAGTTGTTACTAGCTAAGTTAACTGGATATTGTTGGAGCTTTAATACAGAGTCCAGTTTTCTAAGCTACTCTGGCGATAAACATTTTTTTTGATAAAGATAAACTAAAACTGACTGCTTCTGAATTTATACTAGTGAATTCAAGATTTACCTTGGATTCATTGCCTTTGAGTGCCAAACCAGCTGTCTCACTGAAGTGACTTGAGTTATTGTGTTATAATTATTATTTACAGTTGCATTGCCTAGTGAATTTACATAGTCTTTAATAACCAGTTGCAATGTGTTTTACCCAAGTGCTCCGTATAATGTAATAACAATTTTGGAAGGTCCACCTGATTGCTAGCTAGTGGCAGGGGAAATTGAGACTACAGAACTGGGTGTTGTTCTTTAGATATAAATAATGGTAGAGCTTTGGGCAAATTGTATCCAAAACATTTTTTTTTTTTTTTTTTACTTCATGAGAAATGGAATTGTTTGGAAAAAATACAAATTCTGGAAACAATATGGCATACCTATTGCGTAGGTCCCAATGTTCTTGAAAGAGATTGATTTAGGATCATCCTTGCAAAGTATTTAATAAATTAATAAGAGGAAGGAGAGAAGAAGAGAGCTCAATGCCAGAAAGTCTATGCAATCATTTCTCTCACAAATCACTTATTCATAATCTGCGGAGTAAAACATAGTAACAACACATCAAGCATCAATTGGCAAGGCAGTTTGAGAAGTCCATTGGAGTAGAATCTTTTACTTTTTAAATGCTAATGTTTTAGTATTTTTAAAACAAATTTGCTGTTCCTTATATTTTAAGAATCTCATCATCACAATTTTAATTTCCCCTCTTTCAGCATAATATTTATGAGAATCACTGGTAAAGTTAAACTTGACTTTGCTTTTAAAAAAATGATGTATAATTTATGCAAAGCCAAAACTCGTTCAACAATTTAAATTCATGCATTTTTTTTGACTTTCAGATAGGGCCACTGCAATTTAAAATCCATTCTAAATATCCAGAAATAATTTGAAAGAAAATTTTGGATATTCTTTTGTCAATCAAACTACATGTAAAAATGTTATTTATAAGTAATTATTAATCTATATTAATAATAATATAAAAGTGACTGGTAAATGGGACTTTTCTTGTTTTATGTAGAGGTTTTAAAAACTGAGGGGAAAAATAAAACTCTATAAAATTTATAGTGCCACAGGCTGACCAAACATTTCCAAGCCATTAGTTTTGTTAAACATATGAAATAATAACTGTTAGTAATAAAATAATTGTTCAAGGTTTTTTTTTTAAATTCCAGAATAGCTTCTGGATTATTTTATATGGTAAAAATTCCCATAGGAAGAAATACTATTCTAAACAGTGAAGTATTCAAATTACAACTTTTTATATTCAATTCAATTTCTTTTATATTTAATTACTCAGGCTTACTCTTTGCATTGAAGGGGAAGGGACCAGCAAGCTCAATATTAATAGAATAATTGTGAGACAACAGAGCCAGTGTGTTTCAGACGCTTCTGATTATAGCTTAGATTTCAGAACACTTATAAAGTATCTTAATTCTAATTTTTTTGCCATCTAATATATCTGAATTAGTAGAATCCAAACCAAATATATTTTAATTTTATGTGCATTTTGATTGCAAATATTATGAAGATTGCTTACTAATATTTGAAAAAACTAACATTCTGTTAATTTTTGTCATTGACTTCTTTCTACTGCATTTGTTAGGAAATTAAATGCTCATGAATGCTTTTTGGAAAGGAATACCAAAAAGTGACTATGAAGATTTTTGTGTGTGTGCATGATCTTTTACTATTTAATGGTATTTGGGGAGGAAGATGAGATTGCTTTTCCATTAGTATGCTTATACACTGAAAATGCATTATACAAATCAGTACTTTACATATGATCTTTTAAAAAATATTTCCAAAATATAATAATGCATGTTGGCATTGTGTAGGGCTAATGAGGATGGAGAGGTTGAGTGCTACCATCACAGATAATTCTATGATTCTTTTTCAGCAACTCCTGAAACCCCACTACCTTCACCACCACAAGGCTCCGGACAAGAACAGTACAAAATAGCTTCAAATCAAGCTTCAGTTATTTCACACCAGTCCCTCTCCAAACAAAAGCAATTGTGAGAATGTGTTTACTTCCGAATAGCACTGCACAAATGTGAAAGGCTTTTGGTCTTGAAATATCTCAGGATATAACTTTTGGCAAACTCTTAGCCAAGGCTTCTTCATGGTGCTGTTATAAAATGGTATCCTGTTTCCTTGTTTATATGCTCATTTTGTTTGTCTTTGCTATGGTGTAAAACTTTCATATGCAACCAATGTACATTTGAGTTGGAATTTGTTTATATAGTTTCCAACTGCCTCTGCACTGTGCCTGAACTGGTTAAATCTTATGTACTACTTTCATTTGTTTTCATAATATTAATTTAAATCTGTAAATAATTGCTTTGCTGTGATGTGATGCAGAACTAAGTGTTCTTTTTGGCTAAGAACAGATCAGAAATCCAAGGTTAATATGAAATGAACCAGTTTTTTTTTTTTTATAAATTATAAACTTGCAGATTAGAAAAATAAAGCAGTGACTATAGAGTAGAGGACATTTCTTTGAAGAAGAATCACTACTTATGGGCATTCTGTGGCTAACAAGCATGTCTTTGGTTCACGGTTCTGAAGTTCAGAATATTATAAAAAGCCATTCTAAGAATAACTGTATACTCTTTGAAATCTATGTTTGAAGATGTAGTCTAAGATATCAGTTAGAATATAAGCTAAACTGTAACAAAGATGCCCCTAAAACAATGTTTAAACCAAGAGAGACATTTATTTCTCTCTCCTCAAACAATCTAGCAATAGTCATCCATTGACTTGAAATTAGCACAAACCTGCACCCAGGGAGGCCAGGGTAATCCTCTTTGTGTGGGAAGCCTGTTCCAGCTAATGCTGGATATCTCTGGGAGAACTGAACTGGGAGATAAATGAGCCATCTACCATACATGTGCCTCATTTAATTCTCATGGTAAGTCTATAAGAGAGGTATTACCATTTCTTTTAAAAATAAAGAAGCCTTTAGCTTGAGGGTTCAAGGAATATAACCAAAGTTCATAAACCCAAAGAATAAGAGATCTGCATGCAAACCCAGCTCTAGTTGACTTTAGTGATAATATATACCTTACAGCGTGGTATTTAAATACACACAACAGAGTTGGGATTGACCACCAGCGATGAGTGTGAAATTGTTGTAACTGAATGAGAAATCATTTGTATTCTTTAATGAGAACCTTTCCCCTAAAGTGTTGAAGGAAATTCACAAACATATCAGATAGATTTTGATGAGAGCAAAAACAAATTGGAATTGCCGACTTAGCAGATTTTCAAAAATTCAGCAGCTCAGGAATGTACTGAATGTTTAATTCTAGACTGAGGAATGCAGCCCTGAAAAATTGGTACCAACAGCACAAGTTTATTTTAAAACAGTTAAGAATGAGCTCATGAAGCAGCGGGTCCTCTCTCTTCCTGTCTCTCACTACTTGCTTGCTGAAGCAGGGAAAACTGGTTGAGTGATTATCAACTATATATACAAAGAAATAAAAAAAAAGAGTATTCCAAACTGTAAGATATTTAATCAAATGCTTTGTTTTGTTTAGTTCAGGGCACTTCAACATTTTTAAGATTATGATTTCATAGCTATCACTTACCCTACAAAGAAAAAGGTTATATTAATGTTAACTAACTCATTGGCTCTTAAAGGAAAGTTGAACTCTTTGAATGAAAAAATTGATATGTAAAACCTATCAATGATTTAATAGAACCAATAATAATTCATCAAGAGCTGCTACCCTTGTAAAACTGTAAAATATATCATTGAGTGAGAGAGGGAAAAGGAAGAGAAGAGAGAGAGAGAAAAATCTTTTAACTCTAATTTTTTGAAAATTTAATCGAGTGTATATTTCATGAATAGGAATTTTATTTTCTATTTATAAAATACAAACACATTTTTGGTTTTGTTTACTTTTTATTTCATTTTATTATTATTATTGTTTTGTTGTACCAGGTATTGAACCCAGGCAGGGGTGCGTAATCACTGAGCCACATCCCAGCCTTTATTTTTTATTTTGGGTCTTGCTAAATTGCTTAGGGTCTCCATAAATTGATGAGGCTGGCTTTGAATTCATCCTGCCTCAGCCTCCTGAGGCTCTGAGATTATAGGCCTGCCCCACTGAGCCCAGCTTTTTTTTTTTTTTTTTTGGTGATATTTAAACACTTTTACTCCAGCTAGTCTGCTATAACAAAATACCATAAACTTGGCAGCTTAAAAACAACAGAAACTTATTTCCCACATTTCTCAACCTTGGGAAGCTAAGATCATGGCACTAATTTATAGAGGGTGCACTTTCTTGCTTGTTCTCACAAGAGGAAGGGAGAGGGAACTTTCTGGGGCCTAGTTTATAAGGGCACTAATAAAATTCATGAAGGTTCAACCTTCAGTGCCTACCACTTCCCAGTGTCCTCACCCCTAATAATCACATTGACGTGGTATTAGCATTTGCATTTCTGGTTTCCCGTGGGCACATTCATTCAGACCATAACAAACACCATTAAGATGTAAAATTAAAATTTGGTCGCAGTGAGGCTCTAATTTCTCCACAAACAGAAAACATGTCTGCCTTAGGAATTATTACTAATGATTTTTGTTTTAATAACTACAGTCAGGGAATTTGTAATATATTTTTATATACTGTACTGCCAAAAATGCTGGAAAAAGAGGAACTGATGTTCTCAGCATATTTTAAAAATATAGATGAGGAAATTTATTGCTTTTATATGAAACAGTTTTTTAGGTAATAGAAATGGATAATTTATTGTGAAATAACAATTCATTTTATAAATATAAAATTATTTTTATAAATTTCATTGTTGAAAATCAAAAATAAGTAGATTTTTAAAATGTTAAATTATCATGAAATTAAAGTATTTCTAAACTATGATACTTTGAACTTTCTAAATAAAAACTGAGAAAAAATAATTGAAATGGAGTGTTTCAATTAATTATCAGAAGTGATTTTTTAATTTTAGATACTGATAGTATCTTTTATATGGTGATTTAATTTAATTTATATGGAGTCTAACACTAGTTGCTAGAGGTCAAGGAAAAAATTAAAATTAGCATATCTTTAAATAATTGCAGAATTGGATGACAATAGAAGAGACAATTCTCACATTTATGCTTTTATTGTGTAGTTTTGCTTGCCTTTTGGTTTTGTCACAGTAACTAAAATATACCACCTAAATTGATTTAATCTCTATGTGGATCCTTTGGCACACAAATTGTGAACCTAGATGTTTTAATTGCTGGTACCTTCTGTTCATATTTAAAATTTCCATGAAATTTATATATCATGAGGACTGGCATATTTTATTTTTATAGTTTTCTACTATTTTATTTTATTTTTATTATTATCAGGTGTATGTATGTATCATGCAAAAGACAAATTGCATTTAAGGTTTGTAATGTAAACTTGTAACCCTGTTTCCTGGGACTCCTCTTTTTACCATGTTCTCTTCTGCCATAATAGCATTCAAATACTGGAGCTGTTTTGTCTGGTATTTTTTTCTTCATAATTTAAAAACACGTTTATATCATACTTTTTTCTCTTTTTAAGTTTCAGACCTTACCTGCTAACTTTCTTTTTTCTGTCTTTGGTGCTGGTAATTGCCTTTTGTATACCCGGCAAGCGCTCTACCACAGAGCTATGCCCCAGCTTCAATATTTTTAAAAATACATATTTTAATTTACATTAGAAGTTACTATTTAAATTATTTCAAACCATCTTTTAAAATACAAAAAAAAACAGTTTTAATATCTCTTTTAATAGAGTATAGGAGATACATTCTAATTTCATAGAGTGAGAGGAGAAGGAACAGTCCTCACTGAGTCAGAAGAACACAAATTAAAGACAACACATTGAGTGTATTAATACTGTCATTGAATGCAATTTGACTACCATTTCAGCATACTAATCTCAGAGTCTAATTTTGAGGAAACCCAACCTCAAACAATATAGATCATTCATTTGTATTTGTATATCATTAAAAATAGTTTAATAATGCAGTTCATCAAAATATGAATTTTGTGTCATCAAAAAATCAAATTAGTAAAAATCAGTTTTATGAAGTATAGATTACACTGGCATCAGAATTCAAATTTATAAAGTAACACAATGAGAAACATTTAGGCCAAAATGCTGAAAAACTATGAAACGGTCCTGATTATAATTCATTTCCAGGAAAACTACAGTATCAAAGATAGATGAAGGAGGGAAAAACATAGATATTGAGTATGGATGAGCCTCACCTACAGATGTTTGCAAATAGCAATTAACATGGAAAAGTTGGCTGGACCTGAGTTTGGTTAGAAGAAAATATTGTAGTTAAGGATTTCATAATGGAAGAGTCCCACATAACAAATGTCTAGCTTCATTCCTTGCACAGGTTATTTCTTCTGCCTTCTCCTTTTCTTTGATCTACTGACTTGCTTCTACTGGTCCTTCAAGATTTCAGTTAATGTGTCACACTCAACCCTTCTGTGAATCTTTCTACAAGCTTCTCATCGTCTTTTCTCCTGCCACACCATTTGTTCCACTTACTTCTATTTATAGTGTTTATTTCTTTGTTGTTGTTTAATGCAAATTACAGTAAATCCCAGGTGAGCAGGGATCACAGTGGATACATTTCTGAATTTCCAAAGTGAAAAGAGTTCCCAGCAATAATTAAATGAGCAATTGTAATTTCTAAATGAGATGATTAGTCATAATTTAAAATTATATTTCATTAGTAAAGATCAACAAAAAATACAATGAATTATTTTTAGATAATTATATCTATTTTAATTAGATAATGTATTTGTCATGTTATTTTTTTGTAAATGAAAATAAAAATAGTTAAAAATGACTCAATTTTTTAGTAGTTGAAATGTTGTCACTAATTCATGTCTATTACTTATTTTTTTTAGATATACCACAGTTTATTTAACCATGCACCTATTGTAAACATTTCATAATTTTACAATCCATTTTGAGTTAATTTTTGTTTAACATGTGAGGATTAGTTTGTTTTATTTTGTTTTGTTTTGTTTTAATAAGACATGGTATATTTTAGAGAAGGAACCATGTGCTGCTGAGAAGAAAGTATATTTGCTCATTGATGGATGAAACATTCTA